TCCATATTAATAAGTGACCATTGTTAGGGAAATCCATTTCACCAGCACTGTGCTGCTTTATACCTCTAGCCAATTTCTGTGGGAAACTGTCACTATTTTTAGTGATCTTCAGACTTCAGGAATAATGGATTTGAGATGCTGCAACTTTTAAGTAAAGATGAACCATTATTTGAAAGGGCTGGGGGTCAATTGCTTAACATTTACTCAAAATATGGTTATATTTAATCTATGTACAGTATATATTGTAATATCAAAAATAATTGAGGATTTCATGGAAGTTGGGGTAAAGATCTTGAGAGTGTCTTCTCATGAGATATTTCCAAAATCAAAATAACATGCAATGCTTTTATGCCCTGTCTGTTTTAAGCCACTTGAAATCCTGCTAGTTACTAACTTGCAGAAGTCCATTTCTGATGTAAGTTAATAATTTAGTTCTATAGATATTACTACTCAGCTTTTTGGAGGAAAACTTAGATTAATGCATCCATGTACTAGATCCAGATTTTGTGTTGGATCCTAATGTACATTGTTGTTCAGTATTCTTTTACGTTAAAGTTCAGTCTTCAAGGGGTAGTGAACATAACATAAGAAAATAGGTATTGAATGCATATGCAGTTACAAAGGGTGAACTACAAAACATGCAAACCAAATGTTTGCACTCTTTGATATACAAAGAGATCTTGCAAGCCTTTTCACACTTGTTCATTTTGTTTTACTTTGTTTTTCTAAATGTCTTCACTCTCTTTGTCGTGAAACCTTGGTGAAATCTTCAGAGGACTTGTTGATGATGCAAAGCTGTAGTTTGATAGATGTCTCTTCCCCATAAATCAGTTTGGAGGGGACCATTAGATTGTCTAATAGTAAACATTCCCTCCCTTCCCTATACTCCCTCTCCTCCCCAGTTTAGGGGATGGAGAGATGTGAGATCCCTCCTTTAATCTTCTAGTAAAGAAGGAAGTGAGTTCCTGATGTTTGATATTTCAAACATAAAATATGTGCAGGAAGAAGGGTGGTGTTTGAGGCCGCGTTTTACGTTAAAAAGGGGCAAAACACAAAAGGCAAAAACACTTTTTGATCTTGCTTCACACTACGCTTTGATTTTTAAAACTCTGCTGACACACTAGAGAGCCCTACGGTCACCACAGCCTGTGTGACTTGCCTCATGAGCAGAGGAACCCAAGCTCAGGAATAAGAGCAAACTTCAGCAATTGGGTCCTGCAGAGATTTTCCATCTGCAGTGCTGTAGGCAGGCTCGGTGAGAAAAGATGTGGGAAATCATTAAACAACAACACAGACCAAATGGGGGCTTGTCTGTCCTGCAACGTCCAGTAGGCTCTCCACTTTTTGCTGCTACAGCTGCTGCTTCTAGTATTATCTCAGCTGCTATACCAGCCTGGAGACAGAGAGTGATACCCTGTTACGCAGTATTTACCTATTTTGAATTTAAGTGCCTGATTGCAAATGCCAAATTTGTATACTCGTGAGATTTTTTTCTGCTACACCGCACCTGCCCCAAAGTTCACCAGCCACCCGACCGCTGGTTATTGTCAATCCTGAGTGTTCATAAATCATGAGTCAGGGCCCGCCCCAAATCACATGATTGGCTTAAAAATGATTTTTCGTCTTTAAGTTTGTTGGCTCTTTTATTTACTTTCTAGTTTTTTAATGTTTATGGTTCACATTTTCAAGCATTTTTCCACAACCATGAGGGCTGGAAACTTCCTTTTTCTTTTTAAAATGAAAGTGGAGGTTATTACATGATAGCATGTCTCCAGAAGCTGGAGCATTTAAAAAAAATCAAATTTTATGAAATCCATGATAAACACTTATGACCCTGTAAATGGTTGACACAGTACTTACTAACTGTAAATAAAATACTGGTTCTTTTATAGTAGTTTCCTGAGATATTTGCTGTCCTCTTATCACCATTGTATCATTTAGTTCTTTGGGGGCTATATCCTGCTCTTGTGTGAGGCCCAGATCTTGAAAACCTTTATGTATGTGCTTAACTTTGCTACTGTGAGCAATCCTATTGATTTCAATGTTAAATATGTGCATAAGACTTTGTAGGGTCGGGGCTTAAATTGATAGCAAAATGTCCATTAACTTCAGTGGGTGCATGATTGAGCCTTTAATTAACAGCAATTTGAAAGTAGTGGAATGGTCTTTTAATTTTTCTTTCCGTATTTTACTGCAATTTTGTATTCTATTTTGTTTACCAACTATTGTAGAAGTAAATCAAGCTTTCTGTCTATAATGTAAAATTTTAGTCTTAACTGACTTTTTTGCCACTCATATGTAATCAATACACTTGCTAATGTTTACTGCTATTTGTTTGTTTGCCATTTTTGAAGCACTTGTGGCATGTATAGGAAGAATGAGTTATTTTGCTTTGGATTCCATTTATACAAACATAGTGGTGGAGGTTCCTAATTTTTCTAGCTTTTCCAATTTTTAAGGGTCAGATTATGGCTTGTCTTGCCTGCCCATGCAGGAGAGTAAGGTGTGGTGTCATGCATCTCCTTATTCCCCTGTGCTGGGTACCTCCTGTTGGGGGTGAGAGATGAGAAGGAAGTGGCCTCACCCCAAGAGCTGTACTCATTCCTGCACAGGTAGGAAGGGTATATTTGTGTAGAGGAAGACAAGTGGCTCTGCCCTAGAATGTGTAGGGCAGAACCAACCCACCAGCTGATGTTCCTTGCACCTGTTGTACAGCTGACACAGAGTATGTCTCCCTTCACTTTTCCTCCTGTAGTAGCAGAGTCACAGTCTGCCTCCTGGACTCACCCACACCCTTCTCCCCACACAGGTTAAGAAATATCTGAAGTCCCAAGGATATGTGGGAGGGATGCAGAAAGTGCAGTTAGTGTTATGAGCTTTTAGAACCCACTGCTAGTTCTAAAAGCAGCAAAACCCACAATACAGAAAATGAGTAGATAAACATTTTTATGGGTTGGTTCACATGCAGAAAAACAAAACACTCATTTGCCACTGCCCAGTGATTAAATGGTCCCTCCTTCTTCCCTCACCCCCGAACCATGACCTGCTTCAACCTTATGATTAGCGCTCTATAATAGCTGCTCAGTGCATGAGTTAGCACTTCTGACAGCAAGGTTAAAAAAAGAATAGGTGTGCACACACTCTCCAAAGCAAATGTTGATAAGGGAGATTGAGTGCTTCCCGTAACAGAGATTTGTAAACAAGTGTGAACAGTTGAGACAAAAGCATTGCCCAGTGACCACTTTATAAATTAGCCACCACCCTTCACAGCACAAACCCAACCCTAAGGTGATAAGCCAGTGGAGATGCCCTGTTATAATTATCTAATGTGTGAATTGTCACAGGAATGAACAGCTAATTACCTTTGGCTACAGGGAAACAAAACCATCACAAAGTTATGTAACCTCACAAGTATGTGTTCTGTCATGTGCTTTTCCAGCAGCTGCACAGGGTGTGACTGCATTCATCTGCACAATCAGATGTCATCCTGTGCATCCTTGCTGTTCGAAGATGTGGACACATGTGGCAGCCCTGATTTCCCTTGTCCACTGAGAACCAGGCCCAGTGTGCACATGGGTGGGATCTGGATGCATGTACAGAGTTTGTAAACCAGAGTTGTCCTCAGCCCACTCAGTGAGCAGCCCGTGCCAATTATATGAATGATGTTGGCCATATTGGCGTCCAGATGGGTGCATAGGCAGTGCCAAAGAGATTTCAGTCTGTCAAACATGCACTCAATGACCATTCCACAGCTACTTAGTTTGTAATTTAATTCCTTCTTTCCAGCATCATAGATGTCAGGGTACAGTTTAGTGTGCCAAATCAGGAGTAGGTATGTGGGGTCCCCCAAAATAACAGCTGGCACAAATACACTGTAGAAAACCATATGGTTTCTGAGGAATCAGGTCCCTTTTTCTGTCCTGATTTCAGCACCCTGCTGTGTCAGGAACTTTTCCGGTGTTTCCCATATTCATGAATCTGCCTCTCTGTTCCACTGAGCCTTGCAGAAGGAGTGAATGGTAACTTTTTCAGTTCAGGTACTCACTTGCTCCATTTGGTGGGCAAAGTATTGGGATGAGGGTGACTTCAGTGGCCACTGTACGGGTTGGAAATCCCATGCTCTGAAATCCAGCTATTATTTCTGGAATTTTTCTAATGGAAACCACCCATTGGTAGGTTAGTGTTAATTGCCTTGGAAACCTGTACAACCACAACCCTGGCAGAGGGCTTTCAAACTCCAAAGTGAATTACAATGGACCAATAGCTGTTTGAGTTGCAACCTTCGCCAGGGCAATATAGCCACCTGCTTCCTCACCACTATGGCTTCCCTGAATCGAGTGTTCTGGCACTAGAGGTTTGATGCAAGCTCCTCGCACAGCTCTGTAAGGATCTGTTTGCTCATTCAGAAGTTCTGAAGCCACTGCTGGTCATCCCAGTTTCCAAAAGGATCAGATCCCACCACAACATGCCAATTCTTGTGCACCAGAAGTAATGGTCCGCTGGTTGGCACACTGTGACAATGCCAACAATTCATCATATCTGTACCCGATGAGCTGAATGAATTGTCATTCATCCTCAAGGTCAGTTGTCTTTGGTGTGTCAGAAAGTTCTGCCCAAATTCCATCCAGCCTCTCACTGATTTTGTTAGTCCTACAAATATAATTATTTCTCCCACATGATTACTTTTTAAGAGTAAAATTATGTTATGCTTTAATCACTTTTATGGACTTTTTATCGCTTGTCTCTAACTTTTAATTCTCATGGTTTTCTATTGTGTATTATCAAAAAGTTGAGTAGTTTTAAATTATTTCTATTGCTAAAATGTCAGACACTTAAATTTAACACTATTCGTTGCCTGTAGGACTCTGACACTTTTATGTTTTTCTGTTCCACTCAGTCCTTTTTCTGCATAAACTTTTTATATGTTCCATTCTTAAAATAAAAATGAAATATATTACTTTGTGGATGGTAACTTTGATTTGTTTCTTTGCTGGCCACAGAGGGTCACAGATTGTCCGGTGAGTATAACTGTTAGAACACAATCTGATCTTTTGGAATTTGAAAATCCCTGCAATATATATATGCTGTGTTAGGTAAAGCTTCTTCAGTGGGTTTTAAAATAGATTCTGTACTAGTAAAATTATTTGACAAATGATTTATAATAGGATATTGCTTTGGTGAGCACGTGAAAAGTTACATAAACAGCTAAGTTACATTGCACATTCATTCATTCATTCATTCATATATATATATATATATATATATAATATATATATCAAAAGAGAGAGAGAGTCCTTTTTCAAAACTGAAGACTGAATATATATATTACCTGAAAGAAACCATTGGATTAATCATCTTACTTCAAACTTTAAAAAAATAGAAATGACTTAAGTGTGTATACACGCGCGCACACACACAGACACACACACACACACACACACCATTTTGTATTTAGTAGTAGTATTATGTAAGTAATATCATTGAGTAATATTGTTTTATTTCCACATTGTAATAAAACCATTCTGTTTCAATTCGCAGCTCTTCCCTTAATTGTGTTTTAGTGGACAGACTTGCAAGAGTCACACACAGCTATGCTTGTAAATTCATTAAATTAATACATGTTAACTCCATATTATTTTTAACCTTTGCTAGACAAGCTAAATACCATTCCAGTTTTTTAGCCATTATTTAATGTCAAGTGATCTTTCAGGGACTATTTTGTGTGTTTACAGGAATAGGAGACAGCTGAGAGAGGGGAAGACAAATGAAAGCTCGAGGGGTTGGGGAGAGGAGAGGGAGAAAAGATGGAGAAAACCAAGACTTGATTCTACTCTGATTTGAAGTTACTGGAATTTTGCCATTTCAGTGGAAGACAAATTTGGCCTGTAATGATAGCGCACATGCGTAAACTCATGGTTTCTATGATATTGAAATACAAGTAGATTTTTATTTATAAATTAAAATTTCTATCTATGAAATAGTAAGGTTACCAGCTTTGAAATGCAAAAACCTGCCCCAACAACACAAGTCCACTGCTACCCTAACCACAAGGCAACTCCACAAACTCCCCCTTGAGCAGCCACTTGTATCTAGAGAGAGAACAAATATAGTTAAGATTGATAACAAATGGGTCTTTGTTTTATCAGCACATTTTGCCAGTCAGTCTTTGTACTCTGTATTGTGTAGCTAGTTGTCATTGAATGTGTAATTTCTGATGTAATCCTTTTTTATTCAGGGTAGTAGTATGATGACTTGCACCATTGCCCTGATTTTCCATTATTTAATATTCCTCTCACTCTCAAGTGACTCAAACCCTCTCTCACGCACACACACAATGCACTTGCATGTTAGTGGGCAGATAGCTTCTGAATTTTCAAGAGTGTTGATCTGTTATTTCTTAAACCGCAGAAACGGGAACACTGCAACATCTTTAGCTGAACACAGAAACTTTTAACATTGGATATCCCAGTATATTGTGATGATAATGCAGATATTTAGACCCACATTAAAAAAAAAAAAAACAGGCTGGTCAAATACCAGAGAGGTGGTAATCCTATGTAATAGCCACAATGTTTGAACAGTTCGTTATTTTCTCTGTGAATAACAACATTTTTGGTAATATAGAAAAAATTGATGTGTATATATATCTGTTAGTTGGGTGGGTATAATCAACAGTGTTCAGCCATTAAACTTCCATTCTTTCTTTGTGATGTCTAGTGTGGAGTAAGAAAAGATGATGCAAATGAAGATGTTCAAGTCTATCAATAGGGAGCTGTTTTGTTTCAGACTATTCTGACCACAGGTTTTGTCCGGGAATCCATCTTGGTTGGAATCATTTCCCAGCATGTGCTGAATAAGATACAAATTATTGTGGCATTATACATGAGCTAACATAATTCACTCTAAAAAATAATTGGTGTCTGGTTTGGGTATTTTCATGGTTCAGGGCTGGCTGCGCCTTTGATCTCTCTCTGAGTCACGGGTGATGGATTTTTTCCTAAAAGTGTGGGGTGGCATGAGGCCCCTCCCTTTCCATGGCCCCACCACCAGCCAAGCTGCAAGCTGGAGCCGTGTCGGGGGAGCTCAGGCTCCTCCACCTGCCTGTGGGAGGAGAGGGCAGAGAGTAATCCCCAGCCTGTGTACCCACCCAGGGCATGTGGAAGGTCTGCAGCTCCCCACAGCTGCCCATGTGGCTCTTACCCTGACCTGGCTCTGGCTTACCGCCTGGCCTCGGGGTGGGGCCTGGCCAAAGAGACGCAGCTGAGCCATGGTAAGAGCTGCCCGGGCAGCTGTGGGCAGCCACAGACCCTCTATTTGCCAGGGGCAGGGACATGGGCTGGGGGCTGATCTTGGCCTCCCCCCCACCCCCGCCCCCATCCTAGACAGGTGGAGGGTTTGTGGCTCCCCAGGCCACTCTTACCCAGCCTGGGCTCCAGGTTCTGGCCTGGCCAGAGGGCAGGCCCTCAAGGGGAAGAGGAGGGTCAGGGTGCTGGGCCTGTGGCAAAAAATGGATGGGCAAGGTCTGTCCACTTTCAAAAAGTGGGAGGGCCATGGCCCTTTGGCCTCCTCTATTCCGGTGCCTCTGCTCTGAGTCCATGTTTTCAAGCAGAGGATGAATCGTAGGCACCCAAGTGTGATATTGATGGCAGCAATTTGTCAGTGCTTTGTGCATTCACAGAGCAGCTGCATACGGTAGACAGTCGTTTTTGGGCTAGAGAAACAAGCACTGATTGGTGGGATCGCATTGTCATTCAGGTGTGGGATGACGACCAGTGGGTACAGAACTTTAGGTTGCTTAAAGCATCCTTCATGGAGCTATGTGCTGAGCTGTCCGCTGACCTGTGGTGCAAGGACACCAGATTGAGAGCTGCCCTTTCAGTAGAGAAGCATGTTGCAATTGCTGTGTGGAAGCTGGTGAATCCAGTCTGCTACCAGTCAGTTGCAGATCAGAGGCTAGCTATGTGAAATGGTTCACCAGTACAAAAGTTTGAGAGCCACTGCTCCATAACTTTTATCATCTGCTCTGTTGCTTGCCTAGCAAAAGCAACATTCTCTTTTCTGTCCTGCCTTTCGGCTTCCCAGCACTCTTTCCATTCCCTGGTCTGTCTCTCATCGCGCTACAGCACCTCGGAGAACATGTTTTCTTTGCTGCACCTAGGGTTTTTTCTTATCTGCTGAAGCCGGTCTGCAGGGGTGCGAGATGTGTTCTTCAAAGTCTGTGCTGAATAGAAGGGGGATTGTTACATTCCAGCAAATGATTGAAATGTTTTAATAAAAAGTGCATTTTGCTAGTAGAAATTACTTTCTCTCTGAGACTCTAGGCAGGCACACAGCTCAGGGAGCACCCCAATCATGGTGAGTATTGGAAGTTGGGGGAAAGCGGTTGTGCGTATGGACAAAAAGGTCACGGCTTGCAGGGCAGCTTTGTAGGGAACTCATGCTAAAATTATCCCACACTTTTTCATATGCAGCCAACCTGCTGGCTGACATCTCGCTGCTGCGGGTGACCAGAGAAACCAGGGCACAGCTGCTGAATGCTTGTGGCTTTCACCCCGGTCTATATGCAGCTCAGCTATGTGCCACTTTGGTCCAGCTCCAGTGATTGCTAAATGGCATGGTAAAGTTTTCTACAATGGGGGAACTAACAAGGCTGTAATCCATTGGAATCTGTGGCAGAGGAGTAACAAGTAACTCTTTGAAATTTTCCAGAGCCTCTCTGGAGGATTCCCTGCAGGTCTCGATGTCCATCGATACCCTGCTTGGCCATGCAGATTAGCTACACAGAGCAATGTCCAGCTCACAGAAAACACTGCCTACCTCCCACTTTTCGATTCCCTACACAAGCCTCAGCAACTTATCCAGAGTCTCATCTGCTTCCTGCTCGCCGTTGAGCACTTCTGGAGTGGAGAAGAGTTCCTGGCTGCCTGCCCCACCAGGCGACCCCGCTAGGAGCACCACATCCTCTTCTAGTTCGACTTCTTCATCTAGAATTTCAGCCTGCGGGTTACCCTCTTTCTGCTGCCTGCGAAGTATCCATGGGGCTATTGGCGATGGAGGAGGGGTCACCACCGAGGATAGCATTCAGCGCCTTATAGAAGTGGCAGGTCTTAGGCGCACCACCGGAGCGATGGTTTGCCTCCCTCACCTTATGGTACACCTGCCTTAGCTCCTTTATCTTCGCTCTGCACTGCTGCGTGTCCCGATCATAGCCCTTTTTGCACAAGCCTCGAGAAATTTGCCCATATGTGTCCCGATTCCTATAGGTCACTCACAGCTGCGACTGAACAGACTCCTCTCCCCATATACTGATCAGATCCAACAACTCAGTGGCGGTCCAAGCGGGAGCACGTTTGGTGCGATAGCCAGCCATGCTCACCTGGGAAGCTCCTCTGGGAAGCCAGCAAGCAGGAAATGAGATTTAAAATTCCCAGGGCTTGTAAGTGGGAGGGGCGGGTTGGCTGCAGGGCAGCGGAGTTCAAACCGCTGACCAGAGTGGCAGCGTGGGAATTGTGGGATTCTTTCTGGAGGCCAATAAAATTGCAAAAAAACCCTGGTGTCTACACTGCATGTTTGTTGACAATAAAGGGAGGGGAAAAGACAAAAGTCTCTTGCAGGGGTGGAAGTTTTTTGTTGCCAAAACTCGGCTTTTTTTCCGAAAAAAGGCCAAAGCCAGTTTTTGGCAACAAAACTTGCCAATGTAGACAAACCCTAAGACGTGTAGCAATGGAAAAATGAGTTCAGTTATTGTGAATGATTCATTTTTATATCACATTTTCTATTATATTTGTTTAAAATGTTACAGAATTGTTTTCAGTTATATCCTAGCAGCAGGTGCCACATGATTAATTTGGCAGTCTTTATTGCTAGTCTTCTTTCTCTATTAATATGCAAGACTGCACATCATGCATGTTCACTTTGCAAACTACCATTAGGGTTGTTTTTAATTAGAAATAATGAACATCGTATTCATAGTAAATGAACTGCAGCATTTGCTCGTATATAAAGTACTGACCAGTTTTCATCAGTATGTAAATGATGGAATACATTTTTAGTGGTATTCCTTCTTCCCCACCTCCTTTTCTCCTTACCACAATCAAAGTGTTTAAGTAAAAGGAAGTGTGTCATTTGTTCTCCTGAGCTCAACTGCTGCAATAGGGAATATAAATCTATGGGGAAAGAACTTTAATTCTTTTGATATGTTTGAGGATATTCTGTAACTCATGGTCAAAAAGCTGGTGGCCTAAACACCATCTGTCTTTGTTAGTCTATTGAACTAAAGGAGATTGTAATTTTAACTCTGTGTATATTACAACAAGATATATAATGTAAAGGAAAATAAAGTAGCTAATACTGAGCAACTTGTATATACAAGTGAATCCTAAGAAACTTTAACTTGCACATAATATCATTTTACTTACAAATGTCAGTAGAAAAAATGTCACATCACTTTTTTATTTTTAAAAAATTGACCCAAATTTTAGTCTCTTCAGATCTTGTTTATCATGGTGCACAACAGTCTCTGATTTTAATAAACATTTTAAGCTTGGGATTTTATGTTTTGTAATTTCTAAATCAAGCACAGGTAAAGTAATTCAGAATTGTTTTAAATTTAATAGTTGTGTTTATACATGCGAGTTTTTAAGTGTATTTTTTCTAATTAGTGTTCCACTGTTTTTTTTTCCTATTTCACAATTGAGTCAAACTTACGACCATACTTGGCATATAGTTGTCCAGTTTTTTAGTTTTGTTTTCTTTAAGCATCCTTGACATTTTGTTTTTGGAATGCCTTGACCCCAGCTGTTACTTTCTCTATTAATTTATTCACATGTTTAAATTTCTATTCTTGTTCACTTTCTCTCCTTAATACCACAGTGGTGGTGAAGGGGCAGTATATTCAAATTCCATGGTTCTGTACAGACCTCAGGACTATATCTTAATATGAATTTTAAATATGGGCACTTGATAATGCATGGTAATGCAGTGAATAAACAGTAAAGAGTAAAACCAACCTCCATCGTGGTTAGAGAAGAACAGGTTGGTTTCATAGCACAGTGCAGAAGTGCCCCAAGTGACTTTGTACTGAAAGTGCCAGTTCTGCTGTCAGAATATACTAAATATCTGCATTTCAAACTACTGTATCTCCAGCATCGTATTTGTTCAGTACTGAGTTGGAGGGAAGAGTGTTGCTTGCTGAATCATCACTACCATTTCCAGCAGCACCCTGGGGTTTCTTTGTGGTTGAGGTGTTCCCATTTAAGTATTGATCAGACCTGATCCTTCCTTATCTTGTGAGATGTATATGAGGAGTCACATTCTAGGTGGAGTGATTGAAGGTCTTTTCATGTTAAAGTCTTAAAAGTTCTTCCTTTAATTTGTTTAAAGTTTAAACCATTATTTAAAATAAACTAGAAACTAATATGATAGAGTACCCATCATAGTATCTCTTTTCAGGAAAATGGCTGCCAGGCATCTCTGCAAATGGCAATTGTAGCTAACTTCATTTTATACATTACTTTTCACAGTAGACAGAGGGAAGCACTCCTCACCATTTGAACTTTGATTGTTTGTCCTGGTCATAATGGGTGAACTATACTTCTAAATGCCTCTTTTGCCCTATTCGTTACAGGGACCAATATACTTATTTTTTTCCTGCAACTGTGTTTGTTGGCAAATTACTCATTAAAGTTCTGAGACTAATTAATAAAAAGAATTATCTAAATTATTGATTGAAAACCTGACTGACTAAGAAACTTGCGGAGATAAAGGATGAAGGAGGCATGCCTCGGGGCCCTATTTCACTCTGGGGTGTTGGCTACTTCCCACCACCCAACACAGATGTAATGAGGTTAAGAGGTGTCCGTATAAAATAAGTAAGAACTACTAATTATTCCTCAAGAAAGGCTTTTAATGATTTCCGACTATAATAACAGCATAAACAAAACAAGAAAAGGAAAAGGAAAACCAAAGACCAGCACTGAATAAGGATTAATACAAAAGGCAGATTATATTGAAGACAAGCACAAGTACATGTAATATTGTGGACCATTTCATAGGTTCATAGATTCATAGATATTTAGGTCAGAAGGGACCATTATGATCATCTAGTCTGCGAGTTCCTGAACAGTGAATCTACATATGCTGGTCCTGGCAGGTTATAATAAAAGCCCTGAAGACAAGCATAAGTAAAGCTGTTATTCACCAGCTCTATATTCCTGGTGACAGACTATTTCAAAGGCAACGTAAAGCTGATGAACGATAGCACTACATGCACTTGCTCAGACTACTTAAAAGACAAGCACTAATACATGCAAAGCTATTATGCATCGGCTACCTATTATTGATTTTATACTACAGTATCGATACAACTATGATCAATTCAGCTCGAGCGACCAGACTTCTTTACTGCATAGACTTGCCATTCATTTGTCCGAAAATACGTTACCCTTCAGTCTGCCATTTTCCGCACTGGCCAGGTACAGACAGTCGAGAAGCGCACGTCCCTTCAGTTCAGGGGGTGTGGGTCAGGTTACCAAAAACACACACACACAGTCCCGTGCCTTCTTTCTTTTTATCTGATCTGATGGCCATGTTTTAGAACAGACCAACCAAATCAGGGTGGGCCACATTGTTTATGTGGTTGCCCTAATTGTATAATTGATGCGTATTTAATTTTCATGTCCAATTGTTAGTTGTTCGTATAATTGAGGCCTATTTATTTTCGGTAGCCAATGAGATTTTGAATGTGGGTAATTTGGGGTTGATAAGTACATAGGAGTCAGCATAAATTGTTATCTGGTTGCAGCGTCGTGACCACAAGCTTAAGCTTTGTTTTTGCAAGGCTTGCATTTCAAAGCATACGGAAGTTTGAGGCCTAACATTTGCAATACTTCTATTTCGTTCAAGCTTGACAAGACAGTTGCTCAATTTATTCACAAAACTGAATTGGCTAGTTAAGTATTAAAAAATAATCTTTTCTTAGATAAACTATGGCTATATTAGTCGATGTGGGCTATAAAGACTGAAGAATCTAAATTAGGTTTGTTACCTTGTCCTCATTTTGTACCTCAAATTGTCACTGAAGTATACTATGCTTTTGAGTAAAACTTAAACACTACAAATCACTTAACATAATAGCTCTAGATATTATCAAATTAAACACTCATCAGTGGTAGTGTATTCTTTGTCATACATCCATGTACAGAAAGGTATTGCGGAGTCCTGTCATAGGAAAATTGAACACTTTCACAAAATGCAGATCCTCCTGTCACTTGGAGATAAGGAAAGCGTACATTTCAGTAGTACCAGCTATCAAAGTTTTCCCATAATTTTAAAGAGAAAGATAATGAAACCTAGAATGCTGATTGTGGAAGGGAAAAATTGATTGCTTTTTGAGGAGGGAGGAAAAGAAATACTCCCCAATGGCATACAAAATTAGGTCAACCTCATGCCTGTCATAAGGATATAGATTCAAATATTGTGGTTCCCAGAGGCTCCAGTCAGGATTAGGTGAATTTATTTTCTGACACAACATCTCCGGGTGGTGGTATCGGTGTATCTTTTTTAGATATCTGAGTAGAGGATCCTGCATTTTCTCCATGTCCCCAATTTCTTAAGTTTATAGAACTTACCAAGTTTATAGAACTTACCAAGTCGTGAATTCTTTACTAGCTGCAAAACATGCCACATAGCTCTTACTGGTTATGAGGTTTAAAACATCATGGATATACAGAAGCTTGACTGAAGAAGTCTTAACTTTAAAATTAAACTAAAGCATAAGGAAATTAAATAATCATTTGGCCACTCATGGTCTTCTGGTTTCTTAAGCGTATAGTGCTTCTTACCATAACAAGAATTCATTAATTCTAGCTCTCTCTTTTGAAGGAAGGCACCTCACTGCCTCTGACCTTATGAAGTGGTCACTCCTGAAGTAATTTAATTGTGGTGTAAATGTGCAAAGTTACACTGGTGTGCAATTTCTTTTTAAAATGGTTTTCATTTAATGCTGAGACTTGTCTTAAATGTGTAGGTAAACTAGTTCTGAATAATACCTTTAATAATATATAGGACTCTTGTCCTTTCATCTCCTCTTCTAAATGCCTGGATTTAAATTCTGTAGCACCCAAAGAAATAGAACTCAAAGCTTTTTCTGAATGGAACTGTGCAGCTCATGTAGTAACAAGTTCAGATTTCCAGTAATTGAATGGTAGCTCTTACCCTCGAGGCATTTAGAAAGTGATTGTTGGCTAAGAAGTGGTGTGAGAGCTTGGCTGTGCTTACAGCCTGTGAGCCTGACATTAGTGTGTTTAGTATTGGACAATCATGTAAAATCAACTGGTTTACAGAAGAAGTAAAATTACATTTTTTTTAAGTGAATTGAAACTGAACAAAGTGTTATGTTTGTGTCTTAAATATTTATGCAAGAAAAAGCATGCTAAGAGTATTTTTAAACAATATTCCTATGATAATTTATGGAAATAATTTTGATGTTGATAACTGTATTTTTAAATAATTTTTTGTGATTTTTTTTTCTTTAGGCTCTGTTTATGAACCACTTAAAAGCATTAACCTTCCAAAGCCAGAGGGAGAAAGTCTGTGGAATAAATTGGATCATTATTACAGAATTGGTAAGTAAAGTAAGGGGGACTCTTTGCAGTGTAACTTGTTAAAATTCCTCAACTGCCATAAAATTCTTATTTGTATGAATGACAGTTGGAAAAAAAAAAGTATAATGAACTTGTTTGGATGTCCTCTATACCATCTGAAAACTCATGATCTTTCTCTAACTTTTTTCAAATCAACCTGCTGCTGATCAATTGCCATATTCAATAGGTCATACTGATTTTTATTGGATCTACTCTAAAAAATGACTACGTAAATAAAGCAACTTCTTATTCAGCAGAATGGCTCCGTAGATGTAGCTGTTTGAACCTAGAGATAGAAATAAATGTTTCTGATTTACTCATATTAGTCTTACAGAACCATTGCAGCTATGAGAGAGGGAGCTGGATTCTGTTGTTATGCATATTAAGTTAAGAATCACCTCACTGATTTGGTATTAGCTCACAGGTTAGTCTTTTAGCCTAATGAAGGGGCCAATATATATCTGTAACTTCTGTCAGTGTAGACCCTGTTACTAATGTAATGATTCAGAACATAAAAATTGTGACATTACCCAGGGTATAATCTGTTGAACAGCTATGTCCTCTCAGTTCTCCAACCTGGGTGCCTTTTATACTATTTTGCTTGGAGAGCAACCACTCCTGGCCTGCTCTCACACAGCCTCCAGCATATATATTACTCCCAGCTATACTGTATGAGTGCTTTGGCCAGTCACCCTTGAATTACACTGCAGAGCAACACGATCAAATTCCCAGTCCCAGACTTTGCCCCAGAAATGTGCATTTTGTATTGCCCAGCCCTCTCCTGGACAATACAAGCTCTTATAAGGTCCATTATTTTATAAATAAAAAGTGATAGGCACAAATCCTGTTATCTCAAATGGAGTTCCCCAACCACTTTAGTCCAAGCACACTGATTTATTAACTACAGAAAGATTTTAAGTGATTACAAGTAATGAGGCATAAAAGACAGAATTTTTTACAAAGAAATAAAAGGTAAAATGCAACTAACATCTAACTTAGTAAGCGAAACGATTTCAAAGCAAAAGTCTCTCTCACCACATATTTTAGCAGTCTTACTGGCTAAATTTCTTTCTGCCAGGATCCCTCCCCAATCCAGTGATGCTTCCTTTGTCCTTAAAGTGTTGCGATGCCGTGCATAGAGATGAAGGGAGAGATCTTTTGGGGCATTTGTTCCCCTTCCTTATAGTTCTCTTTTTTTCTTTGAAAATCCTCTCCATTTGAGGTTCAGGAGCCAGCATGGCTGTGGGGGATGGGAACCTCCAGCTGTTTCTTTGCCAAAATGTAGATTTCTCACTGTCTTTTTGTCTCTGAGGAACTGGTTTGTGCCTGCTTTTCTAAACTTGGAACATGTCTCAGCAATGTTATACAGTAGAATTTTATAACTATGTACAATGTTGCCACAAACATTTTACCAGGACAATAATGATCAGCAAAGTATGAGTTTTCAAATGATACTTCACAAGGCATACTTTACACAACATTTATCATAATCTTCTAAAAAGGATGAACATAAGGATACAGACTGTCAGAGAAATATGTAAGTACCATAAAACACAGAATGTCATATTTCTCAGATGCTGTCCAATATTCTGTTAAAAAGAACAAGTGTTTCTACTGTAGGAGTTTCTAAGTTTGGTTTGAAGTTATATTAAAATAAACAATAATTAAAACTAGATCACTCATTAATTCTGAATTCATTTATGTGTCTTATTTTATTCTCTTGCTCTGAGCCAACAGTGTAAAAGTTAGCAGCAAAACTTGCAAATGCCTTAAGATTTCATGAAAAATAACTCCTGATTTTTTGGGGGGTGAAATTAGTACTTACTAGCAGAAGTCACAGCCGTAATCCTGGTCAATATAAAAATTTTCAAGCATTTAGATTAGGATAGGTTATTATTTATTATTAGTTGCCTTTAAAGTGTTTGCTGTTTATTTTTAAAAGCTATGTTTATTATTTTTATTTTAAATTGAATCAGCCTATAAGAGAAGAACACTTGAGACACATTTCAATATAGCATCATATCACTTCTGTAAATTTTCCTTGGTGGTAATTAGTGTTCAAATTATGTACTAAGCAATGGTGAAAATGATGGGCCATTATCAAAGGTTAGTCTTTAAATGGAGGATGGAAAAGTTTGAAAGAAAGAAAAAGCTGTCAAGCAACATTTAAGGACCTTGTGAAACGCCCCTGGATGCATAAAACTTTACAGAAACTCAGTAAGAGTTTCAGGTTATGCATAGGAAACCCTCTTGAGGATTCAGGTGTTTGGTTTTTTTAATAGATTTTCTATGGCCAAAATAAAACTGAAGACTTCAAACACAAAAGCAAACTATCTAAACAGGGCAGTTGCCACTAAGATGCAACTACAATTATTAGGACTTCCTATACTTTTCCTCAACTCAGGGAGGCACTCCCACAAATTCTGAAATTCCAATCTGAAACCCTTTCTGAGGTTGAACCTACAAACATTCACATCACTCTGTTTTTTTGGGGCCCTCCCCTCAGAGCAGCATGGGATAGGGTACAAAAGGATTTGTATACCATATCACCACAGTGAGCAAAAATCTTTTTTCTTTTTTCTTTTTAATTAAAAAAATGAATTTTCTAGTTTAAATTATTTAAATACAGGTTTATTTTTAAAACTAAACTGATTATTACATTGGAAATTGACAATGTAGGTTGAGGCCTAATTTTACTAAAATAATTAAAATAAAATAATATTAAACAGTACATGTGTTCTGCCAAAGTTTTAAAGAAAGTCATTTGACTGAACTAAACAAACTTTGACTAATTACCTGGAACTAGAGTTTGCTGAAGTGCTAAACCAGTTTTTGACAACAGTAACCACTTCTGCTCATGCAGAGAGAAAATTTTATTCGTTTCAGTTTATTGAACTAATTCTGTTCACCGACTAGTTCATTCAGAGTTGAGAAACCAGTCTGGAGTTCAGAAAACAGGAAAGACTTGTTTTCCTCTTCAGTCTATGAACGAAAATGAGATATACTCATTCTAAAATCTTGAAGGACATGTTCACCCAAAACAATCCCTTCAGTTCACTAACTTCATCTAATAGTTCCTTTGTTCAATAAATCAGTTTTAAAAGCAAAACATGTTTTGATAAACTTCTTGATATTTATGTATCCAGCACACTTAAGGTAGTTTTACTTAAATGATAAAAATATTAAATGCTTTTTATACATTTTTAATTTAATTTGAATTTTCATCCAAATAGAGCTTGACACAAACCACAAGTAGGAATATTAATCCTCATCTAGTAAATGAGAAATGAATCACTCACCATAATAAAAAAGTAAAACTCTGAATAAATATAAGTTAAGCTTTATAGTTGCATAAATAAATGTGTGTAGATATAGCTTCTCCTCCCAGGTAGCAAAAAGAAATGTAACGGCGATGTTAAGTTACAAATCAACATGTTTTAATGGTTGTCAACCAGTGAGAAATCAGCCTTTCTTTAGGAAAATAATCAGAAGTACAAATGCAAAACAAGATGAAAATTGATTATTTATATCAAGGTTTCCTGCTTGCTGATTTAAATCATGATTAAACTTGGTGATTTCAGTCAATCAATCCACTCCACACATCAGAGTGCTGAACTTGTGCTTTTGAAATCACCAGTTATAGCTTTTTGTTTACTGTTGAATTCCTTTTGAATACAAATTTGTTCTAAGAACTTAAAATAGTTTCTTAAATCTACTGTTTTCACACAAGTGTGAGACCCTCGACACATAGTCAGGGCAGCAAGCCCATCATGCTGGTCGCAAAGCTGCGGTACGTTCCAGTTTAAGGGAGCTAGCTTGCTGAGAGCTACTGCAGGTATATCCCCTTGATTTAGGAATCACACCTCCACCTTGACTCTAGCTGTTTTGCTATACTACTGGATATAATGGTGCCAATAGTTACAAGAATGAATGGGCTTATTGTATTTTCATAACATAAGTGACATCGATTTATTTAAATGTTGAAATACTTTTAGGTATCTATTCTGTAGTGTCTTCTAAATTGAATTATTTATCACTTTCTTCTAATTAAATTTGTGATCAACTGTAATCATACACACACTGTTTACTTAAAGGTGTAATGTTATCAAGAAATAGCTATAAAAATGCCTGTTGTCGTTTTTTAAATCAAGTCATGGTTGTGCGATTCACTGCCGAAATTTTAAGTTTAATCATTCATTGGTAGAGCACAGTAAACAAAAAAGATATGTCAGCCTGAAAAGGAGGGATGATACTCTATTAAAGCATGTGAAACCCCATGAAACCAAATTTCTGGTTCATGCTTGATCTGTACACATTTTATTGTTTTGTAGATTCATTGCTTTTGTCTTCCCCGTGGAGTGGATGGCAGTTCAATTTACTTTTAACAGTTGGCAATGGCAAATCTGTGCTGCTGTTCATCATTCATCTACTTCGGGCTCTACATGTACTGCAGCCAGTTTTCTGTTTCAGCTGAAAATGTGTTATTGAATTTAATCAATTCTAGAATGAGCTATATTAATGCTAGCAAAATGATTTGTCATAGAATATCAGGATTGGAAGGGACCTCAGGAGGTCATCTAGTCCAACCTCCTGCTCAAAGCAGGACCAATCCCTAAACGGCCCCCTCAAGGATTGGACTCTCAACCCTGGGTTTAGCAGGCCAATGCTCAAACCGCTGAGCTATCCTGGCCAATGGGAGCTGTGGAGTTGGCACTTGTGGCGGGGGCAGTGCGCGGAGACACACACCCCCCCCCGGCCGTGGAGACGAGCTAGCTGCTTATGGGAGTGTCATGGGGCTGGGGCTGGCAGGGAGCCTACCTTAGCTGCCGCACCACTAGACTTTTAGCACCTAAAATCTCCCAGTTTGACTTCAGTAGCCTCCGGGAGATGGGGCCTGATTCCAGGAGACTCCCAGTGAAACCGGGAGGGTTGGCAATCCTAACTATAGTGCAATCTCTTTATCATGAAAGTGCAACTTCTAAATGTAGATTTTTGTTTTGTTACTTATCTGCACTCAAAAACAAAACAATGTACAACTTCAGAGCCTACAAAACCACTGAGTCCTACTTCTTGTTCAGCTAAAAACAAGTTTGTTTATATTTACAGGCAATAATGCTGCCTGCTTCTTATTTACAATGTCACTGGAAAGTGAGAACAGGCGTTCTCATGGCACTTTTGTAGCCGGTATTGCAAGGTATTTATGTGCCAGATATGGTAAACATTCATATACTGCTTGATGCTTTGGCCACCATGCCAGAGGACATGCTTCCATGCTGATGGCACTTATTAAAAAAAATGCGTTAACTAAATTTGTGACTGAACTCATTGGGGGAGAATTGTATGTCTCCTGCTCTAGTTCACCCACGTTCTGCCGTATATTTCATGTTATAGGAGTCTCATGATGATGACCCAGCACATGTTAATTTTAAGACCACTTTCACTGCAGATTTCACAAATGCAAAGAAGGTACCAATGTGAGATTTCTAAAGATAGCTACAGCACTTGATCCAAGATTTAAAAATCTGAGGTGCCTTCCAAAATCTGAGAGGGATGAGGTGTGGAGCATGCTTTCAGAAGTCTTAAATGAGCAACACTTTGATGCCGAAACTACAGAACCTGAACCACCTAAAAGAAAATCAACCTTCTGCTGGTGGCATTTGACTCAGATGATGAAAATGAACATGTGTCGGTCTGCACTGCTTTGGATTGTTATTGAGCAGAATCCATCATCAGCATGGATGTATGTCCTCTGAAATGGTGGTTGAAGCATTAAGGGACATATGAATCTTTAGCGCATCTGGCACGTAAATATCTTGCGATACCGGCTACAACAGTGCCATGCGAATGCCTGTTCTCATTTTCAGATGACATTGTAAACAAGAAGCAGACAGCTTTATCTCCTGCAAATTTAAACAAACTTGTTTGTCTGAATGATTGGCTGAACAAGAAGTAGGACTGAGTGGACTTGCACGCTTTAAAGTTTTACATTGCTTTATTTTTGAATGCAGGGTTTTTTTGCACATAATTCTATATTTGTAAGTTCAACTTTCATGATAAAGAGAGTGCACTACAGTACTTGTATTAGGTAAATTGAAAAATACTGTTTTGTTTTTACAGTGCAAATATTTGTCATAAAAATAAAGTGATCCCTGTACACTTCATATTGTGTGCTGTAATTGAAATCAATATATTTGAAAATGTAGAAAACAGCCAAAAATATTTAAATAAATGGTATTCTATTATTGTTTAACAGCGCAATTAATTTTGTTAATTGCTTCACAGCCCTGAATGAAACACTTTTTATTTTGTGACTTTTGTAGCTTCAGATGTTGGTAGGTTTTTTTGTATGAAGCTAAAGTTTTACACTTCATACTTACAACTGTGAGACATAGAAATTTTCCTTTTACTTACTAAAATATGTTGCTGTAGCTGATTTCTGGGCTCCTTCTTGGATGATAATTACTGAGCACTGTTTGGGCTTGTCTACACTGACAAGTTTCTGCACAGAAAAGCAGCTTTTTGTGCTAAAAGTGCAGACGTGCACACACTGCAAAGACACTTTGTGCGGAAACTCCTCAGTTGCAACGCTGCAAAAAACCACTTCGCCGAGAGTCGTATGGCTATTTGCACAGAGGCTCCAGCACTCTTTTGCCAGAGTAGACACTTCATTGGTTTCTGCGCTGTAACTGGCCTCCGGAGCTGTCCCATAATGCCTCATGTGACTGCTCTGCTCATGTGACTCTACTGCCCTGGAGACATGCGCCCCTTCCCTTTCAAAGCACTGTTTCTGACAGCTCTTGTGTGCTGTGCTGATCTGCTCCAGGACACAAAGCAAACCATTAATGTGGAATGCTCGTGCTGTTGAACACAGAGGTAAGGGTGTGTGTGTGAGAGAGAGAGAGCGCTCAGGGAGGGAGGCGGGGGCTGATGTTAGGGTTTCCCCCTCCCCCTGCCTCAGGACTGGTTGCTTCCTGCCGCTGTATCAATTTATGAGACAGCATGCTGACACACTCTCTGGCCCCCAAAACACACTCTCCCCCCACCCATACACTAGGGTTACCATATTTGAACATTCAAAAAAGAGGACACTCCATGGGGGGGGGATTTGCTCACGCCCCCCGCCCCTTCCCCAACTCTACCCTCTCCACCCCCATTCCAACCCCTTCCCCAAAGTCCCCGCCCCCTCCCGTGAGCGCATCGCATTCTCCCTCCTCCCCCCCTCCCTCCCAGCCTGTTTCACACCTGAAACACCTGTTTCGTGTCACAAGCTCTGGGAGCTAGAGGGAAAAAGCGGGCACTCTCTCGAATGATCAACATTTACTCTCTTTCTAGAATGATAAAAATAGGAAATGATAAAATGATAAAAATGGGAAAAATAATAATGGCAAAATGCTGGACATTTTTATATATTTAAAAATTCTTCCCAGATGACGATTTAAGAACCAAAAAGCTGGACATGTTGGGAAAATACACTCTTCTCCCATGTCTCCCCCCACACATACACACTCTTCAGTTGAAAAGGAGCTGGCAATGTAATAGGATTGGGAAACCTGCATCACGTGATGCTGTGCCTGCCCCATGAGGCATTGCAAACCCTTCCCAAAGTACCCTATGGCCAGTTGCACAGTGTGATTGCTGTTCCTTAGGCGTCAGAGAGTGTTTACACTAGCAGCACTTCCATCGTCGATGAGAGCTGCGCTGTATGGCAGCTATCCCACAGTACAGCTCTCTCGATAGGTCTTGTGGGAAGCGGGGGGTGAACAGAAGGCGTTCTGGGTCCCTGCTCAGTGCCCCATGATGCACTGCTTCATATCCCATCAGCCCCATTACTTCCTTGTTTCTTTCAAGGCATTTTTTAAAATCCTCTGCTGTCTGGCTGCTTTTTCCACCACATCTACAAGCAAAGGAAAAGGGAGTTTCAAACTTCCCGGGCCTTACAGTGGGAGGGGCGGACATCCTTTTACCTGGCGTCAGAGCAGTGGAGATGCTGCCCAGAGGGTCGCTTTTGGAATTGTGGGATATCCTCCGGAGACCAAAAGGTGTTTGCACAGGTGGAACATGTCTTCACTTTCAGAACAGCACAAAAAGAACAGTGGAAAGAACTGTATGCCTCTCGTGAAGGTGGTTTTCTCTTTGCGGTGAACTTCTGAGTTCACCGCAAAAAGTCATTATCAAGTGTAGACACTCGCCATTTAAAGCACAAAATGTCCCTTTTTTGCGCTAAAACTGTGGAAGTGTAGAAATAGCCTTAGTGCACAGTGATCAATGTGTATAAAAGAAAAATGCCTGTATAATCCAGAATTGTTTCTATTGGGCAAAGAGGATTTTTTAAACCCTGTCTGTCCTTGAAATCTTTTGGGGACAAATCAAAATACTGTAGACTTTTATTTAAATTAAATTTTAAAAAATGCAGTGCCCATGCAAGCAAATTCAGATTATTGGAGTGGCTTGCATTGAGTTGGTTTTAATGTAAATAGGCTGTGATATAGCTATAAACTAATTTTTAATCATAGAAGTTGCTTTGAATACTTATTTTGAAGAAATATTAGTGTAGGAGAGATTGATAAAAGCAATGGCATGTATGTGTAGGGGGAAAATTACCTTGTTTTTGGGTCTCTCGTTTGTTTTTGTTTTTTCTCTTGTTTTTATTTCCATTGTGTAGTTCTCTTATAGGTTGTCTGCAGTTTATTCCTAACTCCCCCCCCCCCCCGCCCATTAAGCTTAATTTAGGCTTGGAGAAAATTGAAATCTTAAAAAGATTTGTTTTTCTTTGCAGTCAAGTCAACGGTGTTGCTTTATCAAAGTCCAACTACTGGTCTCTTTCCCACAAAAACGTTTGGTGACAACCAGAAGGCAAAGGTGCAAGACAGTCTTTACTGTGCTGCATGTGCTTGGGCATTAGCACTTGCATACAGGTAAATTGCTTTTCTTCTGATGGTAAAGATGGTTAATAATTATCCCATGTTTGGATTTTATGGTGTTGCATACCATAGAAGCATCTAAGTGAGAGACATCGTGTATCAAAAATAGTTTTGTAAACCTCTGGAAATGAAAACGGTGTAAGAAGCATGGTATAAATGTGCATATTGCCACTTTAATAACAATGTCACTTGACTTTCATAAGTTAGAAAACTGATTTTTTGTTTGTTTTTAGCATAACCTTTTGAGATGTTTTGTCTTCACATAAGCGCCTCTTCTAAATTTTCACTGTCACCGATGTTCTGAGACAGTATGATTAAGGCATGTTGTCAAAACTTGTTATGGTAGTGAACAATACTACAGTACCTGGAAGATAAACTGAGTTCTTTCCTTCTCAGGCATCAGCACTGATACATTTTGCAGGTCAAATTTTTGCCTTCAGTTACACCTGTGCACCTCCACTGTGTGCCTGTTGTTGTATATTTGTAACTAGAGGCAGAATGTAACCCAATAATTGAAACTTAGTTTTGATTATAGACAAGAGACAATAAAAACCTCGTTCTTGGAGTGATGTCCCTATAGGTGCTCCACTGTAGGTGTATGTGCGCCCCTGCGCGTCTAATCAGAGATTTTTGGTAGCAGTGTCCGTTGAGCCTGCGCCTGTGCTCTTCTCCATTCCCCTCCACCGTGGTGGTCTGCCTTGAAGCTATCTAGCACTGCGCTGGTGAACCCCGCTCACTTCCTTCTCAACTGCCTTTGGCCTTGAACAGAGTGAGCAGTCGTCCCTTCTTTATCTGTGTCATTAGCATAAGTAGTAGCTGTTTTTGTTTTTCTGTTCTCCTTAATAGTTAGTTAGTATTTCCTTTTTTCTTTTTTTTTTTTTTACTTCTTTGCAGGGTGTCTAAAAATCAATGATTTAAAAAAAAAACAGATTTATTTTATTTAAATCAGATTTTTTTGATAAAATGCATAAAATGTATCCAGCAATCATCCCTCCATAATGCAAACTATAATAAACTTCAGAGCTAAGGGTGAACCATTCAAGAAATATGTTTGATGATGATGTTTTAAAGAAAGTCACACCAGTGAACTGGTGGAAGTCACTTAAGCATTTGGATTCAGAGACTGTTGAAGTGATAATCCCCCTTTTAACAGCAGTAGCTTCTTCTGCCTGTGTAGAAAGAGAATATTTTCTTCCTTTGGACTAATTCATTCCAAACTGGGAAATCATTTGGTACCTGAAAAAGCAGGAAAGCTTGTTTTTCTTTTCCAGATTATGAACAAACAGGAAAATGAAGGGGAAGACAACTAAGTTAGCTGCAGAAGCCAATATTTTAAGTATCTCATGTTGACCTGGCTGATACAGTCCATTAAATTTTTGTGGTTTTTTTTAAATATTTCATTAACTATTTTAGTTAAAAACAATTTTAACAAAAAAAAGCCCTGATTTTAACAAAATTGAATGTTTAACTAAATTCAACAATTCATGTGCTTGTTTTGTTAAAATATTATATGTTTGCTGTTGAAGAAAAAAATTCAGACTACATAATGTTGTTGTTTTAGTTAAATAAAACAATTTAAATGTTTGTCTGGTGATGTTCTCCTCCTAATACAGCATAGCAAGAGAATCCTCCAAATATTAATGATTAACCTGTTGAAATGGAGATAGTTCACCTCCCAGTGACTTCATAAATATCTGCCTCAATTACCTTTGGTAAATGAAATAACCAAACAATCATTCATTTTCTGATATAGCTGTAAAACTAATCTGAAAAGTTTTCAAAATAAATCACTGTTTAAAAATGTATAGTGTGTACCTTCTAAAAATGAAACCTACATCTATCTCTGAGTTGTGAAGAATATGTATTAAGGTTATAACAGCCAACAAGAATGCACTTTTATGTAAAAATCCATGATTAAATAGAGTCTTCCTGATTAGTAATTTAAATCTATTTGATTTAAATCAAATCCACCGTGCTCCTTTGGGATTTAAAAAAAAAAGAAAGAAAGTAAGTAAAAGAAATTTAGTTTCCTGCTCTATCTGGGGGCTTTCCCCTCTTCCCTCCTCCCACCCCCATTGGGCGTTTAGTATACTTTAATTTTTTTTTCAGTTTAAAAAAAAAAGGAAAAGAAGAGTAGTAAAAAAGATGTTTTTTCTGCATTCCTCACTGCTAGAGGATGATAGCTCCCCGCCCAGGGGCATGCCTGGCTCTCTCTGCTCCAAGAGGTGCATCTCCTGCAAGTAGTCAATTCCTGTAATGGCCAGACACTTTCACAGTGCCTGGGAGAGCCTCACAGTGGTGCTTGACCTGCCACAGCTAAAACAGCAGTCTGCAGGAACTGAGAGCTGAAGTTAAAACTCCTCCTTATGGAGAAGGCACTTCAGTCTCCAGGGAACTCTGGTGCTGACCCCGGATCATCCAGGGAGCCTTTAACTTCAAAGGGAGTAAAGTTGTGGACAAAACCAGCAGACTCCCCCTGTAAAGGCTTATAAAAAGGACTCCAAGTAGTTGGTCAGCCAGAGGGGCTCCCCAGTGCGTCCACCTCGGTACCAGCAGCTCTGAAGCAGGATACCCAGATGGGGGCCTCCGCTGTGAGCTCTGCTCTGTGGCACCGGCTGCACCACCTGGAGAAGCCAGGGGCTCCGCAGTCAGGCTCTGAGGCAATGGTACCGCCCACTAAGGAGACAGACAATTACCATACCGTCTCTAAAAGAACGTCACAAAGAAACCCTTTGGTATCAGGTGTGACAAAACTCCCATCTATGGAGTGCCCCGCACCTTCCCAACCATCGGTACTGACAACATACCACAGACACTCCTCTGCAGTTCCAAGTGAGCCCATGGTACCACATGAGCTCTGGTACCCTGGAGATCTGTGGCCCTGGTATCCAGGGAAAGACCATGACTGTACCATCTCTAAAAGAGTGGCACCGACAAAACTTTCTCTACCAGGCACAACAAAACTCTCATCTGAGGAGTGCTCTGCATCTTCTCAACCATCATTACCGACAAAGTACCATGGACGCTCCTCCATGGTACCGAGTGAGCCCAGGGTACTACATGATCTCTGGTACCCTGGAGACCTGATGGTTGGGGAAGAACCGCAATCCCCATTACTTGGTACCAGGGTCCCGGTACTGAGCACATCCCAGCACCTGGGATCGCTCTTGGTACCGGGCTGTGTATCACCAATACCCCAGTTGGCGCTGCCCTTACCCAGTGACGAGTCAGACAGTGGCCAGGAGGAGGTCATTTCTGGCTCCTCATTTTGGCCCACCGTCACAATACAAGGGTCTTCTCCAATTCCACAAATTGTGGTATGGGCCCTCTGGGGTAAGCCCCCTCAGCCAGGGGAGGAGGAAGCTTTCTCAGAACAGGAAGAAGGACTCGAAGGGGAAGCTACCCCTCCAGCATGCTTCTCCTGATTTCCACTTGATGAGGCTGTACTGCTTCCCCTCCCATCACTTGGGGATGATTATAAGAATTTTCTGGACTTTACCAAGTGGATGACATATGAGCTGCAGATTCCCCTACAGGAAGTTGCAGATACACATCACAAGTGATACACATCACAAATTGGTGGATATTCTTCACACCTCCTCCTCATCCAGAATTGCTCTCCCAATTAATGAGGTGATTCTAGATCCTACCGAAGTCATCTGACAGACACCAGCCTCCATCGCACCAACCAGCATCAGAGCCAAAAATAAAAATAATTTTAAAAAATTACTACATCTGTCCCAAAGAGGCAGACTTTGTTTCAACATCCGCAGCCCAACTCCATCATAGTGAATGCACGAAGCACACAACATAATGCCAAGTTGACCCCATACAATCGGGCTTGACAAGATGGTGTATTACCATTACATTACCATATAGAGTCACGAATTACCAAACTGTCATGGTCAAATACAATTTTATTAATTATGGGAAACTCAGTGCATTTCTAGAACATTTACTGGAGATACAAAAAGAACAGTTTCAGACCATTCTTAGAGAGGGTTAGTTAATAGCCAGACTGGTGCTAGAGACAGCACTGGATGTAGCTGATACAGCTGCCCACCCAGTCTCCATGACAGTGGTACTGAGGCGGGCTTCTTGGCTACACCTTTGTGGATTGCCCAAAGAGCTGCAGAAGGCTTCCAGTTTGAAGGGCTCAAACTCTTCGCGGAGAAGACAGATTCTTCTCTCCACATCCTGAAGGATTCCCAGACCACATTACGCTCCCTAGGAATCTACACTGTGGAACAGAAGAGAAGATATACCTTCAGCCACAGCACAGGTCACAATCTCCTCAATACCCACCATCTCAGTGCTGTTACAAGCCACGGTGTAAGAGGACGAGGGCTCAAAAGCGGAAGCAGTCTGCACCCCAGTCTGTGACCTCTCAAACCGCCTCTTCTAAGCACTTTTGACAGGTTGGTCGAGGGCCTGAACAATTATACCTTGCAGTGTCAGCTGCCACCTACACACCTGTCATGCCCCTTCAGAATTCACCTGGCCCTACTTCACAGTAGTTGGGAGAATATCACCTCTGACAGATGTGTCCTGGAGATCATTTTGAAGAGTTACGCCATTCAATTAATGTCCCTCCCCCATTCCAACCCTCCTTCCCTGTCCTGCTTCAGGGACCCTTCTCATGAGAACCTAGTTCATCAGGAAATATATAATTTGTTATGCTTAGGGGCCAGTGAACCAGTCCAAGTGCAACTCAGGAGCAAGGGGTTTTACTCTCATTATTTCCTGATCCCCAAGGTGAAGGGAGGTTGGAGCCCATTCTAGATCTAAGGGCATTAAACAAATACTGGAAGGCGCAGATGTTAAAGATGGTCACACTAGCAGCCATTATTCCAGCTATAGAGCAAGGAGATTGATTTCCAGCCGTCAGCCTACAAGATGTCTACTTCCATATCTCAATACGTCCATCGCACAGGAGATTTCCTATGATTTACGTTTGGGACAGGACCATTATCAATACAGACTGCTCCACCCAG